CAAGGTACTAAGGACTTGGGATTATTTTATTCTAACCATAACAAGGATGGTCTAGTTGGTTTTGCTGATGCAGGATATTTGTCAGATCCGCACTGTGCCCGGTCTCAAACCGGTTATGTTTTCACGCATGGAGGAACAGCCATATCTTGGAGATCCATGAAGCAGACTATTGCCGCTACCTCATCCAACCATGCGGAAATCTTGGCCATTCACGAATAGAGAGTGTGTTTGGTTGCGGTCCATGACTCAGCATATCCGATCAGATTGTGGTATGGACGAAGATAAGGAGCCTACGGTGATGTATGAAGACAATGCAGCTTGTATCGCTCAACTCAAGGACGGCTACATCAAAGGTGACCGGACGAAGCATATTCTGCCCAAATTCTTCTTCACTCATGAGCTACAGAAGGATGGTCAGGTCAAGGTTCAGCAAGTCCGATCAAGCGAAAATTCAGCCGATCTATTCACTAAATCATTACCGACTTCTACACTCCGGAAGCTCATTCATCAGATAGGAATGCGTAGACTTAGAGATCTACAGTGATGCCTAAACCAGGGGGAGTAATGCGTGTTGTACTCTTTTTCTTTCACCATGGTTTTTCCCACTGGGTTTTCCTGGTAAGGTTTTAATGAGGCAACGTTCCCCAGCGCATTATAGAGATCCTGGTTTTGTGACAGGCACGGTTACCTTGTCCAAGGGGGAGTGTTATAAACAAATGGACTTCTAGTAACCGGCCCATTAACCATCAGGTTAATGTCTCATGGCCCATTAGGGTTTCTGATACATTAGTTATGTAATGTATATATACACTGCTTATGGAAACAATAAGATAAGAGTTTTTCCCTTAATATATATATATTTTTGTAAACCAGATAATTATGCGGATTTAATATTAAAGTTCCAGATGTTGACGCAACAATAACATTAACACAAAATATTAGATTACTAGATTATTTGTCTAGCAAAAAAAAAAATTATAAGACTACATGTTTTGGTCGGAACAAAGTTTTGTTTAAATTCAAAAATAATTCAACTATATTGTATATCATCCTTGATAAAAAAAGAAACTGGGTTAAGTTGATTTGATTTCTAGTTAAGTTAGATTAACTCAGAAAAATTATGGTCTATTTTCATTAGTGTCCCTATAAATTTTAGATATTTGAAAGAAAATGTTAGAATTAGGGTTGATCCGATCAAACAGGCAACTTTGTTAAGAGTGTTTTATATAGACTGGTCTAACATTTTTTTCACGCGAGGTTTTGCATTGGTATTTATTGAAGTGGTTAGAATAAAATTTGGCAATAATTAAATTTTATATTTCAGAAAGTATTCTTTTTTTTTGAACACTTAATATTATTCCATAAAGAAAGAGAGCAGAACATTGTTTTAGCTCTTAAAACAGAACAATTGGAATCAACACAGAAAACAATTGAAAAATCGAGGCTTAAGTAGGGGCCTCCGCACGAATTACATCCTCAAGCCACACTGGTCCCCCTGATGCCACATAGGACTGAAACCTCTTCTCCACTATAACACTTTTTGCAATTAAGAAGACACATATATTGGTCTTGTGGGTTTATTTTTCCAGTCTCCAGTCCGATAAATTCCACAGGGCCTCCATCAGATCTCCAGATTGACCACGCAGAGCTGGCCACGCTTGTGGCCTTTCTACTGCATCCACTAACTCTACTGATTTCGTGGCAATAATAATCCGCTTCAAGTGATGGATACGCATGCTCTCAATCGCCCATAGGTGAACTTTTAGTTTTGCATCCGACAGGCTAGTTATATTGCTAAAGGTTCTGCGACTATGAAGCAAAACACTACCAGACTGGTTCCTCACAATCCATGCCGCTCCACACTTACGCTCCTCCTTACTCCATTTGACACTAATGTTACATTTTAGAAGCCAGGGTCAGGAGGCCTCCATCTCGTCACAGGTTTCCGAGTTCCGTCACTCTCCATTCCTAAACCATCATTCTCCTTTTGCAGTGTAAACCAATGAGTAGAGTCTTCAAGTATTTTGCCTGATGTTTCCTCTACAGAGAAGGATCTCGCTTCAAATAAGAAGGTGTTACGGTTCTTCCAAATTTGCCACAGAATCCAAGGGAAGCTACGACGCACTTCCTCCGGAATCTCTTTGTTTTTGGCACATCAAAAGAGATAGGAAAAGTTGACATACACTGACTCCGTGTCAAAACCAGAGCTGGGAAAAGGAAAATTTGATTGTGCCCACACTAGCCTTGCTACCATGCAGGTAAATAGAACATGGTTAATAGATTCTCCTTCCATTCCACATCGTTGACACACCAAGTCTGTTTTCATGCCTCTAGTCATTAAACCATCTGCCACATTTATTGAATCATTCAGTGCTTTCCACATAAACAGACGAATCTTTGGAGTAGTTTGTATATCCCACACTTGTCTGCGCAATGGGCCTAGAGATGGTTGTATCATAGCCTCTTTCATAGCGTCAGACGGGTTCAGCTTCCTCCCAAGCCAGTATCCTGATCATACCAAGTACGCACCATTTTTGTTATAAGCCCACTCAAAGCTATCCTTCTGTCTCCAGGCTGGTTTTTGTGAGATCACCCTTTCAACGTTCCCTGGAACAATGACCTCTTCCACTTTGCCTCTATTCCCACGTGTTATTTTGGGGGTTGATTAGGTCACTTGCGTTGAGATTCAAATCCCAAATCAGCTCTCTTCTAAACGGGGAACGCGGCTGTTCATCAAAGACCCAGTTGTCTAACCACACATGTATAGATTCACCATTACCAACCGACTTTTTCAGGCCTTTTACAAGGAGTTCTCTACCATGTAATATGCTCCTCCAAGCAAACGATGGTCTACTTCCCAAAGTAGCTTCAAGAATGTTTGAGTTTGGGTAGTATCGGCTTTTCAGTACTCTAGAGCATAGGCTTTCCGGTAGCATTAGCAGTCTCCAAGCTTGTTTTGCGAGCAAGGCTTGGTTAAACATCTCAATATCCCTGAACCCCAATCCACCAAGTTCTTTATCCAGACACAGATTTTCCCATGAGACCCAATGCATCTTCCTTTTTCCTTCTTGTGCATTCCACCAGAAATTAGACATAGCACTAGTTAGCTTATGACAAGTGGTTTTAGGGAGTTTAAATACCGACATGGCAAAAACAGGCATAGCCATTGCCACCGACTTAAGCAAAACTTCCTTCCCTCCCATAGATGGAAACCGACCATACCAACCATGAAATCGAGATGTCATATTGTCTTGGATATATTGTAGCATCTCCACGTTAGAACCACTGAAACACTCAGGAAGTCCTAAGTATTTCCCTGCTCCTCCTTCATTAGTGATGTTCAACTTGTCCTGGATCCATTTCCGAAGGTCTAAAGATACTTTATCTCCAAACATGATCGATGACTTATTAAAGTTAATCATCTGACCTGATACTCTTTTAAACTCTTTGAGCACATCAAACACGGTTTCACATTGATCTTCATCAGCCTTGCACATGATCAAACAGTCATCCGCAAACAGTAGATGGTGGACTCTTGGGCCATGCTCAGAAAAGTATATCCCTCTTAGTCGATTATTGCTCTCAGCATTATTCATCAGAAAGGTAAACCCCTCAGTGCATAGATCTAACAAAAAAGGAGAGAGATCCCCCTGTCTTAACCCTCTCTCAGGTCTGATCATACCTTGGGCCTCCCCATTAATCAACACTGTATAGGTTACAGAGCTCACACAGTACATAATCCAAGAGGTAACCTGAGAGTTAAAACCTAAAGCAGAGAGAAGAGCTTGTAAGTAGTCCCATTCAATTCGGTCATATGCCTTAGACATGTATGTCTTAATGGCCATATCTTCACAAGCAATTTGAGGATGAGTACGCAAAGCATGAACTGCCTCATGAGCAATAATGATGTTGTCCGATATCAGTCGATCAGAGACAAAATCCGAATGTGTTGGCGAAACAATGTCTTGGAGCCATGGCTGCATTGTTTTCACTAGTATTTTTGAAACAATCTTGTAGATCACTGAACACAGACTAATCGGTCTCAGGTCTGTCATCTTAGTAGGCTTGGATACTTTAGGGATCAGACAGATCTGTGTGTAGTTCCATTCCTTAGAAAATTCACCGGTTTCAAAAACTTCTGCACCTCCGCTGTAACTTGCGGTCCAAGAATGTCCCAGTATTGCTGAAAAAACATACCATTCATTCCATCCACCCCTGGGGCACTCAATGGGTTAATTGAAAAGGCTGCTTCTTTCACATTTCTCGCCGTGACCTCCTTCACCATTGCTGTATTTATTTCCGGTGTTACGCGTGCCTGAAACCCCTGAAAGAAGTTACCAAGGTTCCCACTTCTTGAAGATTTAAACAGAGTTCTGAAATAGTTGCTCGCTACCTCCCCCATAGAGCCAACCGATGTAACTTTACAACCATTGTGATCTATCAGAAAGTCAATTTGATTCCTCATCCTTTGAGTTTTTACCGAGGCGTGAAAGAATTTACTGTTACGGTCTCCACCTCGCAACCATCTGTCTCTGCTCTTCTGTTTCCAAAACAGCTCCTCCTCTTGATAAGCCTTTGCTATTTCCAGCTTTAGCTCCTTCATATATTCAAAACGGGGGCATAAGGACGAGTCCTCTATCTCTAAATCACGTCACAGCTTCAGTATACGGTCCATGGAGTTGCTCTGGTTCTCACGCTTCCATTTGCTAAGAGACTTTCGACATTGACCAAGTCTCTCCATTAGGCTCAGAGGTACTGCTTGGTGTGTTCCCAGCCACGCTGAACGTATTGCTTCCTTGACCAAAGGTTTGCCTATGAACTTTCTATCAAACCGGAATGAGCCTCGGTTATTATTCTGTCTATTCATAAGGTTAACTAGCACATGCTTATGATGAGAACCCAATTGTCTAAGAAGACTTGATTGGCCTGAGGAAACTCTTGCTTCCATGCCTTATTTCCAAAACATCGATCAAGTTTGCTTTGGATCCAGTGTTTATGTCTCACTCCCGACCAGGTAAACCCATCACCCGCGCTAAGGAGCTCATCCATCTCACAGGTGTGTAGCATCTCTGCAAATGCTTGTAAGAAGCTCTCACTTCGCTTAGGTCCACCCAGTTTCTCCCCATTATGCAACACACGAAGAACTCAAATGCCCCGAACCGAAGAAAACAATCAATAAGGTTTCTGTCTGCAGACTTCACCTCTACTGCTACATTATTTTTTGAAAAAACTTCTAAACCACCACTCCATCCTATAGGCTCCACCGTGTAGACTTTACCATATCCCAGCCATTCCTGCATATACACCAACCCATTTCTACATCTTTTTGTTTCCATGAGAAATAACAGATCAGGAAAATGTTTCTCACGCATCTCCCTGAGACGGGGAATTGTCAGGTCTTGTGCCCGGTCCAAGCCCTGACAATTCCAGCTCAGAATGCTCATTGGGGTCGCGGCAGTCCCTCATTTGGGACCTCCTCAAGTTTGTTACGCCGTGCGATTTATGAAACCTCTCTCTCACCCCCATCTGCTTTTCTCTTAGGCGACACACCAACTGTTTTTCCAACCCCTTCTACTCTCTCCGTGTTTCCTTTCACCTCTGTGTCTTTCTTCTTACGGCTTGTACTTGCTCTCTTCCTAACAACTCTTTTCTTTGCAGAGGTACCAGACGAACTGGCCTCCGAACTCCCAACAGAAAAGCCATTCGACACCGACCGGTAGCCTGAGTTTTCTGATGTAAAGTTTGCTGCATCTCTTTCAGAGGAATGGATCACGGGGGACATTTCATATCGAACAGGTTTAGCAGCCTGGATAACAGCTAACATTAACTTTTCTCCTCCATTCTCTGTGTCTTTTGCAATCTGTGTGCCTTCTTCTCCACCCATCTCATACGTCGGGCCTTTTCCTTTATCAAGCTCCTTAGTGAGTACATGCGGGGCCTCCAAGCATAGCATCGAATGCTGCCCCTTCCAATCATCCTTGAGATCAAGAATGGATTTTTTCACACGTTCGTCCTTGAGTCTGCGTTCTGGACCTTCCGCAGCCACCAAATACAGCCTAATCTCTTGCATAACCTCTGGTGCAATTCGCAATCTTCCCGTATGTGGGTCAGGTCCCACTTGATCTTCAGTTAATTCATCAAACAGGGGATCTGACTCTTTCAGCACTGGTTCCAGATTCCTTTTTGCATTGAGGATATTTTGTCTTCTTGCAGTGGCCTTGTCCTTACGCATTTTAATCACCAACAGACATTTGTCCTTCTCATGAGTCAGTCTTTGACATAAATAGCACTGTTTCTGTATACGTTCAAAGTCATACCATACTGTCGTCGAACCTCCTTTAGGCAGATTAACGACCTTTGAGCGCCTAACCGGTTGAGATACATCAAAGTTAACCTTGACGCGCACGTACTCCTTACTCTGTGGCTTATCTAGATCGAAAGCTATCTCCACCACCTTCCCAATGATGTCACCAAGCGCAAAGATTGAAGCTTCAGTGTAGTAGTAGTAGTTAACCGGTATATTGCGGATCTGGTCCACACTGACATAAATTGAAGGTAATCTTCCAGCGGATTTTCGACCCACCGATCGATCACGATCGACAATTCATTAAAAGTCCACACTCTTTTCTTCATCACCTCTTCCAAATCGTGTTCATATTTGAAAATAAACTGAAACCTCTCCTTCGACAGCGCCACTCCTCTCACACGATCGTAGACTTGCCACTTCCTAAGCATATCGAGGATCAAGTCTGTCATGTTTTGACACTCCGGATTAAGGGTTCTGCCCATAATACTCATCTTGTTTCTTTCACTCGAGGAGAATTGCGGAAGATCAGGCAACATGAAAGGCACATCTTCTTCTTCTTCAATAGAAAGAGCATTGAAAGTCATGTCTATATTTGCCATAGCTTCGATTTTTTTCAATGAGAGCACACCAGATTTCTCCTTTTGCTTTTAGGGTTCTTAGTCTGCCAAGGCGGCGCTTATCAACAGCACTACAAAAGACTCAAAACCCTCAAAAAACAAGAAGATTTCCTAAAGATTCACCCAAAATCATGTTATATCCGCCAAAACCTTTTAAAACTTAAGAGGAAAATACCCAGCCAAAAAGCCCCACTTTTGAAACGAAAGACTCTAAATGGTTTAGAGAGTCCTAAGCTAAAAGGGAGAGTCAAAAAATATCTTTGAAATAGATGTTACCTATTTCAGAAAGTATTCTATATTATAGTTCTCTAAACAATTTTTTTTTGTGGGCAATTCTCCTCTGATTTGTGTTTCATAAACCTGAAGGCCTTCCTAAACCCGAAGGCATTGTGATTGTGTGGTATTATGTATCTAATCAAGTTTGTTCATTTTTGTTTTTTTTTTAGTGTTTGATTCATGCATTGTTTTCATTCTTGTGTTTGTGTTTGTCTGAAATTTGAATATGTGTTTTTAGAATTTCAGGAAGGATTCCCAATAGATTATTTTTCACCTCTTCAAACAATTACCATCACTAAACTTCATTTCAAGATAGAGGAGGAGCCAAATCAAGAACCAGGGCCAGTTGTAAATCAATTTGCATCTTTCAAGACAATCGAAAAAGTCAAGAGCGAGCTTAGCGTCGAAGAGTTTCATAGAGTTAGGAACACCTTCCTGGGACCTATCTTGAAACTGGCTTTAAGAGATTCTATTATGATGTCTGGTAAAATGGTCCATTTGTTGCTTACTCGATCTATCAAAACAGTCAAAGAGAATGAGCTCTGGTTCCACTTCGGAGCACAACCAATGAGATTCTCTATTAGAGAATTTCATATGGTTACGGGAATGAAGTGCTCTGAATTAGAAGAGAACGAAGAAGAGGACGAAGAAGAGAAGGAAGAAGAGGAAGAAGAGCTAGAATATGACTGGGGTGATGTAGAGAATGGTCACACTCCTTCGGACCTCTTAAATGTGTTAAGCAATACTGACGAGACAGAAGAGAACAAGGATGAGAGGTTCTGTCTGGCAATGCTGATTCTCATTGAGTCCTTAGTAATTCCGAGGTATCATGGATAGCCTTTTCCAAAGAAATTCCTCAAGATAGCACAGAATTTGGAGACACTGATGAGTTATCCGTGGGGGAGGGACTCCTATATTATTCTGCTAAACTCGGTTAAAAAGCTTGTTCCAACACGGCTAAGGAAATCAAAGTATGATATTCACGATTTCCCAATAGCATTGAATCTGTGGATGTTGGAGTCAGTACCGCAGCTTCAGCATGCGTTCAGCTCAATCAACAGTCTGGAGGCACCAACAGCTTTTCTTTGTGAGAAATACCTTCGTTTGACGAATCCTACAACTTCTCAAGTTGTGGCCATCGAAGGTTTTCGCGACGTTAGTTTTCAAACCTTTGGTTCTCAGAATGTTGTGCTTTGTTTAGGATTATCTTCCTGAATTGATAATTTTTTTTACTTATGCTGTGCAGCTTAGAGTAGTCTGTGTCTTACCTTCTATTCCAAGTGATCCTGAAGACAAAGTGTTTTTGGAAGACCAACCTGGTGAAGACCTAAATACCCTTGCTGAAATTATAAGAAAGGGTTACAAAATGAAGATTGAGGACTGGGAGACCGGAACCATTGACATCTTGGAAGCCATAGATCAAATTGCACAACAACCCCACCGGTTTGGAGTGGTTGCAAGAGCCGGTCCCTCTAATGCTGGAGCTAGAGCTGGAGCTGGAGATGGATCAACTGATGAGTCGTTGAAGACAAAGTTGGACCTCCTTTACAATATGGTTAAAGTTGGACTAAGTGATATTAATATCCGCTTGTCCAATATAGAGGAAAAGATGGGGATCAAACAAGTAAGATAGTTTTTTTTTTGGTCTTATATTATTCTTGTTTTGAGTTTAGATTGGATTTGTTCAAGTGATATTTGATATGTCTCTATTTGTTCTTGCAGTCTAAGACAGATGGTGAGCAACAGAACACTTTCGGTAGTAAGTCTCCTAGCAGAGATGCTGCTCAACCAGACCGTTCCAATGAAGAGGTAATGCGTTTTTATAATTCAGGAAATTGTTCTTAAAAACATTCTAGAGCTTCCTTAAATTGTTTAAATGGTATTTGAAAATGTTTGCAGCTGCGTAGTGATGAAGTTCCGCCCCCAATTCAAACCCCTCGAGAACAATGTATTCCCAGTCCAACTCCTGAAGATCCCGAAGAGGTAATCTATATGCCTTCTCCGTAAATTAGGAAGGCATTACTATCCTTAAGTTATGAAGGTATACTTATAATTTAGGAATACATTCCTAAAATATTTTAGGAGAGATTGATACTGATATTTTAAGAATTTTGCAGTTGCGCGATGATGAATTTTAGCTTCCCAATCCAACCCCTTAGGAAACTTTTTTCAGTGATAAGTAAACTATATGACTTGTCCTACTTAAAAAAAGCATCATTCTATTTTCAAGTAAAAAATAACTATTTTGTTACTCTAAAATATCAGCAGCAGAGCACAGAAGATGTTGACAAAACGCAGACGCAATATGACACACAAAACTACGGTGATGATGTTGAGGTAAAATTGCTGACTTGTACATAATGTATATTATGATGATGATTATGATGATGATGATGATGATGATGATGATGATGATGATGATGATGATGATGATGATGATGATAAGATGTTGTATGAAACGTTTCCTGAAAATACATGAATATTTGCACATGGAAAAGGTCCCGGAGACTCCAACACAAAATATCAGCGAGACTCCAACACTAATTGTCAGTGAGACTCCAACACTAATTGTCAGTGAGACTCAAACCCAGTCTGCCGTCGAGACTCCAAACCCATCTACTACATGCACAAAACCAATTTTGGACAATGATCAAAACTCTAAGGTAATTAACATTTTCAGAAAAGTGTTGCTAAAACATCTATCTATGCCAAAAGGTCCCCATAAAAAATATATAAGTTTTGTTTCTTCAGGATAATGTAGATCTTATGGCTCAAGACAAATCTTGTTTGGATTCAGTGACTGAGCCTGACGTCGATGATGTTGCTGCTGTGGAAAAAGAAAAAATGATTGTTGATGATGACATCTCTTCTTCTGGCAAGCCTGGACCCAAACCCAATGAGGTGGTAATGTTATGACCTTCTTGTATTCCTTTAAACTCTTTGTAATAATCCAGGAAGGCTTTCCGAATGTGTTTCAAATCTATACTGATTGGAAATTGCAATGAAATGTTTTGCAGATAATCGCAGATGGTGGGTTGCAGATTAAGGATAAAGATTTGGATATTGAAAAAGTCATCAACTCTCAGATTCAGTATGCTAATCGACTTCTCAACAAAGATCAAGCTCCTCAGGTCTCAGATTTGGTATTCATTTCTGGTTCATGCTTTGTCTTTCATAAACTGTAAAAACAAACGGTTCCTAAAAAAACATTATTTTTTGCAGATGTCAAAAGAAAAAGAGAATCAGATACCTTCCTGTGCAGATGCCAGTGTCAACGTAGCGCAGGTATAAAACCGTTCTAATCTTGTGACACAAATTCCATGAAAATGTTAGGAGTTTAGAGTTTAGGGGTTTAGTTTCCTGATTTTGCAGGCTAGCTCATACTTTTTAGCCAGATTCCATCTTCTTGGGAAACAGTTCAGCTGACCCCTGAAGATAGTAGCCCAAGGGATAATTTATTGAGATTGGAGGATTCAGCTGTAAACCAAGAAGTAGATGTCTTTTACAGAGGGAACCCGAGAAGAGGAGCTGTGACTTTAATAAATCTTAGGGAAAATAAAGCGTCTGTCCTCATCCATAAAACTCAAAAAATACACGAATTCAAAATTGAGGACATAAGGATTCATAAGTAATGGGTCAAATATCAATACTGATGGTTTCGTTTGGTTTCGTTTTAAATGATAAATTTAGACATGTATAACTAAACGTATGGTAATGGTTCATTAAAAGCTAATGCTTATTATGTGATTTGTGTTTTAGGACGAAGAAGAAAAGTTCTATGATTGTCCTGAAAACAAAGATGAAGAACCAACACATGTGTCGCCTGAAAACAAAGATGAAGACAAAGATAAGGTAAGCTCTTTACTAGAAATACATATAAGTTATTTAGTAAAACATATCTAAAAAAACCAAGCATTTCTCTTAAACCGTGCAAACACTACCTATATTTGCTTGCATTGACTGTTGATTTCCTTGATTGAATGAAACTCTTGCATGATAGAACAGATCTTGAGCTTCATCCCATTGAAATAGGCGCTCAAGTAGAGATTAAATCTCAAGATGGTGGGTGGTTTGAAGGGACATTGATTAATACAAAGGACGATGACTACACTGTTGAGTATTCACACCTTTACGCTGATAAAATGACAAAACAGAAGAAACTTTTGGAGTGTGTGAAGAAAAATCTAGTTCGTCCTAAACAACCGGCATTGGGAAATAATGCAAAATTGATGGATCTTCTGCGAGAAGTGGATACATTTTTCAATGATGGATGGTGGCCAGGAAATGTGGTAGTTGTCAAGACTGACAACATATACGGGGTCAAGATGTCTAAGTTTGAAGAAATTCACCAGATTCCAATAAAGGCTCTTCGGCGTGGAATGGAGTGGGAGAACGGTGAATGGATTCAGAGAGAAAATGTATTTTGTTTTGCATAAACTTAAACATGTTTTAAGATTTAGGAAGATTGTTACGTTATTCGGGAAACCATTCCCAAAACAGGTATCTCAATGTTTCTACACAAATATTTAACTTGCAGGACAACCAGGTCGCTGAATCAAATAAGACTGATTCTACTGTTGCTGCTCCTGCGAAAAGGAAAGTGGTTGGTGATGATGGAGGAAAGGCGAAGAAGAGATCTATAAAGAACCAAAGAGCTACTGACAAAGAATCTCAGCAGGACGAGGCTTTCTTGACAAGGAGCAAACACATACCCGTTCCTAGTCAGGCAAACAAGACTCCATTCCGGGAACCAAAACAACCAGCCTTAATTGTAACGCCTAAGGTTAATGTGGTTATTGATCCATTCCTGACACCTGATTTGAGGAGACTAACTTCCTTGGACGATTGGAAGAGGAAGACAGAACGGTAAGTACAGTTGTTATATAATATTTGTTATCTCATATTGTTTCTTGCTTACTATTTTCTATTGTGACAAATGCAGATTTCAGATTACTCACATTTAGTAAAGCCTCTCTGGTTCAATAAGTTAGAGGATCCGGAGAAGCCTCTGAATTATGAGGTATTTCTGCGTTTAAGAAGTCATTCTAAACGATGTAAAAAATTGTTTCTGAAATTTTATGAATAGTTGCAACTGTTTTAGGAAGAGGTTCCTAAATTCATTTCCTAACTTGTTTTCTTTTGCAGCACATATCAGCCACGATGTTGATGTTTGCAAGGAGAAGGGACACCCATGCAGCACACTTCCACAACAATCATCTCCTATTAGCTACATTCGTCAACCCTCAATTCTTTGGAAAACTCTCAGTATGCTACTCCAGCTTTAAAACGCCTAAGAAAGTTTCTAAATGTTTCTCCGATGATGTGTTGGCGGTTACTATGGGGAAAAAACCGCCAGGAAAAATATGGGGAACAGATGTGGATGTAGTTTACAGCCTCGCATAGAAGAGCGACCACTGGATTAGGATGGTCATCGACTTTAAGTCCAGACAGATCACTGTTGTAAGGTCTGGCCTCCCTTCTGACAACATCGATGTCATCATGAACGATGTGAAGGAATTCGCTGGTATGAAAAACACTACCTACGTAGTATCAATATATTTTTCCCTTATGATTCTGTTTTTCTTTTATTGATTGAAAAAAAACTGATACTTTTGGGGCAGAGATGATTCCTGTTCTACTGAGTGTTACTGCAAGTAGAACACTGACGGATGAGGATATGTGTCCTTATAGCATTAAAGAGTTATCCAGTAACAACATCCAGAAGACGAATCTTCCTGCAAACTCAGCTCTGTTTATCTTGAAGATTCGAATGCCATTCTATGGGCATTCGAGACACGACGAAGCTTGAGGATGCCAATGCACATGACATCAGAACAAAGCTTGCATGCGAGATATATGAAAAAATTCTGTCCTACGAAGCTTTGAGGAATCTTTTCAGGATTTCTTTTATCATATTTAGGAACATCTTCCAGGATTGTGTTATGCTATTTAGGATTTAACCTTTTTGGATGTCTTATGGATGAAATACCTTCGGGTTTTTTATCTTATGCTTTGGGATTTAGGAATGACTAGAACTTGATCTTGTGTTTTTGGAACCGACTTAAGTTTTAGGAATGGTCAGACCTTGTTAAGGAAAGCTTTACTAACATTATTTGTCGTTGCTTTTATGTCTCTATTTGTATTTGTATTTAATAGTGCAGAATCAAGTCTTACACCAGGTAGCCGAAGGAGTGTGGAAAGCACACCATATATAGTGTGACACTGCTCAAGTATTCTATTTCCTTGATACTATTATAATCAAGTAATTTGAGTCTAAATACATTTAGCTGAGTCTAGTCATATGATAAGTATTACAAAACTTACAAAGATCATATGATAAGTGTTACAAAACTTGGGAAATCATTAAAACTTAGAAAATAGTTTACAAAACTTCGTAAACAATTAAAACCTAAAAGTTCATAATTCATTTGCAAAATTTAGAAAATTATTCCTAAAAATGAATAATTACCTACTAAAATGCTCAAAAAACTAACAAAAACAATCAAGTAACTAACAAGACTTCGGAAGTTCTTAATACAAAACCAAATATTCTATACTAAACCAAGAATTCTATACATACGTTAATAAGACTTATATTCTATACAAAAATGAAATTTCAAAAAATAAGCAATGATCATTTTTCTGAACAGACACGACTAAGACACGACTACTCAGAGAAAAACGGTGCAGTCAAAACTTAGAAAATCATTAAAACTTAGAAAATCATTTACATAACTTCGTAAACCATTAAAATCTAAAGTTCATAATTCATTTGCATAATTTAGTAAATAATTCCTAAAAATGAATAAAGACCTACTAAAATGAATAGTATAGAATAAAGATACTAACGAAAACAATCAAGAAACTAACAAGACTTAGGAAGTTCTCATACAAAATCAAGAATTCTATACTAAAACCAAGAATTATATACATACGTTAATAAGACTTATCTTCTATACAAAAATGAAATTTCAAAAATAAGCAATGATAATTTTTCTGAACGAGACACGACTAAGACACGACTAATCAGAGAAAATGGTGCAGTCAAAAATGAATTAACTACCTTTTTGAAAAAACGCAATTGTTCTAATTTCCGATTTACAAGAGACCTTTGACAGACCCTTTCTCCTCTCTGAAAACCGAATCCCTCTACTCCTCTATAAAAGGAGGCTCATCCTCCTTCGTAAAAACCAACTTCCACACACAAAAAAAAAAACTTCCATCTTTGTGTTCTTCAAAATCCCTAAAAATCCCAGAAAATGTCTACTTTGAACACGATCATGAGGCAAGTGAAGGAACTCGAGAGAGTTAACAGCGATCTTTTCAGTGCAGGTATTTCGTTTCTGTATTTTTGTTCTACGAAATTCTTAGAAAACAGTTTCTTTTTATTAACATGTGTTTTTGACGATCTGATTAGGACCAGTTGATGGGGATTTGTATCATTGGAATGCAATGCTAATAGGGCCGAAAGATTCCCCTTACGAAAACGGTGTGTTCGAACTCACCATGCACATCCCTCCGGAATACCCCTTTAGGGCGCCGAAGGTATGATTAGGCTTTTCGATTGTTGAAATGCTTGTCATATTACTATTTTAGTAAGGGCTTGATAAACTATAGTTTTATATTCTAGAACTCTGAAATGATTCCTAATAACACTGATGTTTTTGCAGGTCTCGTTCAACACCAAAATCTTCCACCCAAACGTGGGTGAACATGGAAACATCTTTCTTAAGATGTTGAAGAACAAGTACTTCTCGCCCATCTACACTATCAACCGAGTAATCGTTTAACCGTTTTCCAATTATTGGTTTATGAATCGTTACTGTCTGTTACTAGTTTGGTTTTAAAATTCTTTGAAATTAGATGCTCACTGAACTTCACGCGAAGTTAACTGCACCAGAGATTGGCGATGATGACCACTACGACGAAACGGTTGCAAGCTCTATTGGGAAGACAAAGCAGTGTTCGATTCGGTTGCTCGTGCATGGACGGTCGAGCACGCTGGGGGGGAGCCTGAAAAAATAACTGCTTTTGTTTATCTATCTTTATTTAAAGTCGTCTTTTATGGAACTCTAAACTCTATCTATGTTTTTTTTGTGAAACTCTATCTATGTGCTACTACGGATGCAGAATACTTTATTTATTTGAACTCTGTTTTTTTATAAGTTTATATTTGGTTGTATTGATGGTTTATATTTGGTTGTTGAATTAGTTTATATTTGTATGCTTTTATGAATTGGCTTATGTTGGAAGGAACAGATTTGCACAGAAAAGAGGCGAAGTAAATGAAGAGGAAGTCTTGGGAAAGAATTAATCAAAGGATTCAAGAGAGAAGATATTGAAGCATTCAAGTCTGCAATGAAGGAAAAAATAATCAAGTGAGAAGAAGAAGGGTAAACAAGGGATTCAATAGTCATATGCTTATG